TTTTGAAAAAAAATAATAATGAAAGAAAAAGAAAAAATATATATATTTAACTTTATTATGCATGCTTGTGTGTGACTTAACTAGAACAAAGTAATTCATATCCAATGATGATATTGTGAATGTCCTAGAGCGAAATTTGGATTGGTTGTTGTAGACACTTGAATTGTTAATTATTTGTGAATACCATTATTTTATATTTAGTTTTTGAACAATTCGAGCATGTGCTCAATCTTGATTACACTTAAGTGATAAACACTAAAAAAGAAGTGACGAATTTAAAAAGAGATAGAAATCAAGAATGTGACAAACATTAAAAAAGTAACAAAAATTCAAAAAAGTCATGGAAATTTTAAAAAAGTTACACAACTTCTTTTATGTGTTTTCTTTTTGTAATTATATTTTACTTCTATTAACTAACATATTAACTTGATTTTGGAAGACAAAAATTCAAAAAAAGTGACAAATAAATCAAAACATTATAATATATAGATCCAGTAGATAGTTGAATTTCTTTTGCATATTGTCTCTTTGTAATTATATATTTTACTTCTATTAACTAACATATTAACTTGATTCATCCAGGAATAGTAAAGCGTAAAGAACCTTCTGATCAAGGAGCATGAATAAGTGCATCAGCTTACCTATAAATTAAGTAAAAATGTGTGTATTTCATGGCCCTGATTTCTGAATAGACCCAAAGCCATACACAAGAACTACATAACAGCCTACATAACAACATATGTGTTTAAGGTATCATGATCCCAAACCCAATACAATCAACCAACCTAATACATAACGGAATAGTTTAGTCTTCACTCTGCCCCCTAGCACAAACCCAATTCTTCACTTCCAATATCCTGTTTCCTCACCTCGGTCAAGCTTCACATTAACATCACTTTCATTTTCTTATTATAGATGCAGACAGAATTGCACTCTTCATCATTTATTCTCATAGTTCCTCATACGATTTAAGCACACAAACAAGATCAAGTAATGCTTACAACAACAATTTACAAATTTGTTATGTCAACTATAGAATGAGTAAAAACTTAAAAGAGCAAATTTCAAGTATTATTAAGTTCAAGAAGGTGGAGGAAAGAAATAATCATTTATACCAACATTGCTTTTCAACTTTTACTAATAGGGCCAAAATTTCCTCACTAAATTTCCTTCTATTACTTTTATTTACAACTTTGAAGCTGTGAAAATTTCTAAAAAGCATAACATCACATACGAATATCAAAATCAGAAGAAATAACCTTCCGATCCCAATCTTACATTCATCATTTGCAAATGGGCTTAAGGGGCACTTAAACCTTTGAAAAGAATGAACATGCAGCAATGGATTTTGGGAATATATACTAGTTCATGCCATCAGTAGTTTTACACCCAAAACAGAATCTGATATTTCCTCAGCCATAAAATATATTTTCGAGATAGGAATCACTTCAGAGCTAACGATTGCTGGCCCAAGGCAGTGCCACTCCTTAAAAGGCCAGGCAGTCAGGCAAAGGAGGTTTCTACTACAATGCAAGTCGAGGAAAAAACTCTCGACGGTATCATCACAGTAGTCTCGAAACTAAGCACCTTGGATTTCCCTTCATCTATCACTTTGGTTGTCGACACACTCGTTGTTTTGCTTTTGTTCCGCGAGCTGTTCGGCGAGAAAGAATATTAGAGTTATCAGCTTCTCAAACAAAGGGATAGTTCGAATGTTCTCAAACACCCATGGAAATGCATTGATATAAATTTCCATGGTTAAATCTGAATTTGATTGGATTTTCTAGGTTTTGATTTTGGTTTAATTGGGTATCGTTGATGGTGGGAAGAAGATGAAGTGGCCTGGGAATCTGGGGACAGGGATGGAGTGGTTTGGGGATTTTTATAACATATTTAATACGTTCTTAATTTACTTAATTAATTATTAGGGTATTAATCAATTTAGTCAATTTTTTATGGTAATGGACCTAATTTACCCGAAAAACAATTGGCCAAATCTCATTATAATTGGGCTCAAACAGGGGCTATATGTGAGTCGAGAAATCTAATATTTGCAATACAATCTTTAAGACCAGAAGCTCCACCATCAATAAATTTAAAAATCAAATATAAAAATAATGCGAAAAACAAGAAAAACTCAGACATTCAATTTCAACAATTTTGCAAAATTATTCCATATTGAAGATGTCATACATTAGCAAGCTTCGGTGCACCCACGAGTTCCAGTTCTGATTTGAAAGCTCCGCTTCAACATTAATGGTACGGCTTGAGATGAAAAATTGGGCGTCTTGGGCTCTCTTTTCTATAGCTTGCTCAAACGTTTCGTCGATGGCCTCATTCTCCTCTAAGCTCATCTAAAGAAAATGTCGTATCCAACAAGTTGAACTCCTCAGCCGATTAAAAAGGGAAAAAGTTCTATAAAAATGGCTGTAATATTCAAGAGCAAAATGACTACATACAAGCTAATAATAAGGCACCTTGATTGATAAGTGTATTTTATACGATTAGTTTTACTTCTATTTCTTGATTATTTATTGCTAATTGAGTGTGTATATATACCTAATTTAGGTTAAAATATGTTAATTGTATGTAAAATTGTGACTTGAATGCAGCTGAAATTAAACAGGTGCTTCGAAGCTTAAATTAAAGTAGATTCATAGCGATTGAAGATCAATCGGATTGCATTTGATCAATTAGAAGCATCAATAGAGAAATAAAAAATAAGCACGAGCGTCAAGTGGGTCAATCCGTATATTTCAATATCGTGAACCACCCATTACAATTGGGTATCTCGTAAATAGAGCCATTTGGATTTGCGTAATTATTGAAAGCAACTCAGATTGGACTTGTCGATTTGGGTTTGAATTCTAGTTCAAATTTGGTTCTACTCATAATATTTTCTTGACTCTGCTTTCAAAAATTAAAATAAACGTATGCACAAATCATTTTTATGTTCCTTAAATTGAATTATGTAAAAACAAACAGTCTAAAGTTTTTTTATTGAGCTGATGAGCCTAAAAATGGTAAGTATGGTTCAATCAAAACAAGATAGTATAGGGTTCTTATTCAGAAATAAAGGGATTTGCCAATCTATTTGATGTATTTGTTGAATATTTATGAAATTTAAACTTTATAAAACTTAATGAATTATCAAGATCTCCATGTCAAATCATCAAGAAAATTAATTAATGCGGAACATGCATTGATCTATGACTTTATATCTTGAATCTTTAATCTTGAGGATCAACTTGCAATGCCCTCTTGATTGGATTCTTGCTTTCAATCTTGATTGCCTCATTGTTCAATTTAATTGTTTAAATCATTCTTCTTAATAAAAATGAAATTTCTATTTCGAGTTCGCCGTTGTCTTAAAGTTTGAAATGCTTTTACTGCAATGAGGAAACATCGTATCTTGGAAGACGATTGCCAAGACTTCGTCAGTACCGTTGCAAAACAAATTCGTATTAAAGACAAAGTGTTGAATACTTACCTTGATTTGCATTTCACTGATTTGTTCTTTATTTTCTGCAATTTTTTGTTCACATTCAAAGTACGTTTTACATGATTTATTATTTTTCACTTTCAATTTTGATTTGCAAGTGCGTGCACACACATACCCCCAACACACACTCCACCCACACAGTTCAATGTCTAGGCCGACGTGCAACACTTTTTATTGAGAAAAAAATGATGTTTTGAATAGAGATTTTTTTTGGGGAGAATATATGACTAAAAACTAGGAAAAGCTTGCAAAATATAAGATCCAATTCCTTGCTTCATTTGCCGTGACAGCCATTTTCATCGTAACCATTTATCCTCCTATTGAAGCTATTTTTGCTGTTTGTTCAGACTTGCTATCCCACATTGTGAATTTTGATCTAAACCACAGATTAGCGGTATATTGAAGAGACAACTTGGACAAGAGAGTCAAATTGTTCTATGCCCAACGAGATTGTTCTTGAGACCATATTCATGCCAGCAGGTGATTTATTCATTTCTCTTAAAAAGTATCACCAAATTTTTCATCTTTTATTTTATATAAATTTTTAAATGTCAGAACATAAACGTGAAACTAAGGGAATCTCCAACCTTAACACCAAATCACCAATTTTTACCAAATATACCACTCCAACAGAACACCAAATCTTGCATCATTTTGCACCAAATGTGATAAAAGTCCATTTTGCCATTTTTTTTTATGTATGACCAAGTAATATCAACAATATTTGTATCATTTTACATTATATATAAATTTTAATTTGTAATTAAGCAGTTAATTACTACTACTGCTACTATTATTTGTAATAAATTTTACTCGTGTAATCAATAATTGAACATTTGTTGGATTAATATATGAATTTCGATAATTAAATTATGACATTAGGTAAACTTCGTCGTAACATAATTTCAAAATTCAAAATGTACTATGTTGTTTTCAATAACATGATTTAATATTTTCTTAGTTGTAGTATTTTTATTAATTGTACTATATTTTTAAAATATATTATATAATTTAATATTTTAGTAAACGAAACATAATTATGTATATAGTAATTTATGTAGTAGTAAATCGAATAAATAAATAAATTTTCAGTTATATAAATTGTTATGAATAAAGTAAATGAAAAAAATGATTAAACATTGTTTATTTTGTGCAAAATTTGATACAAAAATTTTTAATATAGGATTGAAAATGGTCTAAGTATTTCTTTTCACAGGAACTAAACTTCCAAATGTTTTCGTGAACATGGACGAATTAAGAAAAGGACATTGTAGTCATCTTCTCATGATTAAATAATTATCTTTAATATTAAAATTTACGGAGAACAAATTTCATTGGCAAAAAAGAGTTGGGTTAATAGAAATATTTCCCAATATTTTGAAATTTTATTATTTTCTCATACCGCTAAGCAAGTACATTGATATTCACGTGTCAGAACATGATTGGATACAATCATACAAGTAATAGGTGTCCACGTTGGTTCCCGCGTAATGCACTAAGTATTTTCCGTCCATTCTATCCATAAAAAATTTCTCTAAAATAATAATTTCTCTCAAAATCACGAAAATGACCTTCGTCGACCGGAAGCACCGCCGAAGTCCGAGGGTCACTCCCTTCCTCCCTAAGGACCACGGCCGAGACTTCGTCGGCGCGTCTTTTTCTGGTGCGGTTTTCAACCTATCCACCACCATTGTCGGCGCCGGGATCATGGCCCTTCCTGCTACCCTAAAGCAATTGGGTACAATCCCGGGGTTGATCGTTATTGTGTTGGCCGGAATACTGACGGAAAAATCGTTAGAGATGATCCTCCGGTTCACTGCGGCCTCCAAGACCACGTCTTATGCCGGCCTCGCCGGTGACACCTTCTCTGGCGTTGGTCGGAATCTTCTGCAGATCTGTATTGTCATCAATAATCTTGGCATGCTTGTTGTTTACATGATAATAATTGGTAACGTCCTAGTCGACGAAAAGTAAATTTTATTTTTTTATTATTATTTCTTTTGCTGAATTCTGAATTTCGATACATGATTGACTGTTGAATTTAATTTTCAGTAAATTTGAGTGTTCATATATGCACCATCTTCCAATTGTTTTAAATTTTTTGCTGAACTTTTGCTCAATTTTAGGGCTTTAGTTTTTTACCAGATGGGATTAAGATAAGATTTGTTGTCTAAATAAAGAATTGCTTTGTTTTAGTCGAAGCATAAAACTTCCATTATTTTGGTGCATTGGACTTGGGGTGATTGCAAAATAGGTCACAGGGGAGAGCTCGACAGTAAATCTTTTTTGCATTCTAAATTTCGAACTTCAGTAAACAATATATATTCCCAGATGTGGATATTGTGTGGTCCACTATAGATCGAAATAAATGTAGCTAGTATTTACTATTTTCTTTGAGTTATTTTTTGTTAATTATGGTTAGGTGTTGTCGTCTTTGATTTGATTGCAGGTGACGTTCTATCGGAGACATGGTCGGACGGGGTGCACCATTTCGGTGTGATGGAAGAATGGTTTGGCGAACATTGGTGGACCACTCGTTTTTCCATACAACTCCTTATAACACTTCTTGTTTTTACACCTCTGATTTCACTTAAACACGTTGGTTAGCATCTTCCATCCCATTCACAGTATTAATGTTTCTCTTTTTTCTTTGACTTTTGTATTTGTGTTGTTATTTGTATTAGAATATCTGAATATGCCATCTACTATGTAACTGGATATCCTAGCCCAATTCTGACTATGCTTAAAATTACTTTTCTAGACAGTAAGTCTTAGTTTTGTTAGTAAAAAAAATAACTTCTACTTCTTTTCAAGCTTAGCCAAACACATAGTATTGGAACTAAACTCATATTTTATCTTTCTTTCCCTAGAACTGTGATGTACGTCTGGAGTAAAAGAGTTATACATACTTAGATGCAAAGTTACTTGCATATTTTTAGAAAATAAAGAAGATAATGAAGACATCTAATCAAGTTTTCTAATGGCTATAGGACAAGGGGACAGCCATACATTGTTGAAAATGATGTATCTTAACACCTGATTCAGAAGCATTATTTACCTTCTCTATAAGAAGTATTGCTACTCATTTTTGTACTAGGGTTTGTGACACAGGAGGGAGTTGAATTCAATGGTAGCTTATCTTAGGGTCCTTTGAGAAATACTAATGTATATGGATTTGGACGTCCATGAAATATACAACATACGCAATTTACCTTTCTGAATCATTCAGAGATTTATCCACTTTTATTAGGATTTATCGTGTGAAAGATTTCCCATATCTGAGTTGTATGATAACTATAGACTGCTGCAAGCCTTTTGTAGGGACAATTTCTTTGACAGCTGGTTTAATTCATTGCATGGAACCTTCACATTTCTGATAAGGAGATTAGGATGGACTTTCCAATAATTCAACTACTTTGTTTTTCTATCCTAATCCATGTTCATTTTTATTATTATTATTATTATTATTATTATTATTTTATTTTATTTTTTTAATTTTTTTAATTTTTTAATTCTGGAATCAAATTGTAAATCTGTTAGATCTGTTTGATATGCCTATTCGTGATAATACTGTAGCAAAGTTTCTCTGATTGGTTATGCCCCAGAAATTGTCCTTGAAAGTATAGAAATGTCAGTAATTCATTTTAATGCTTGGGTGTGGTGTCAGATTCATTGAGATACACTTCAGCCTTGTCAGTGGCTTTGGCTGTTGTGTTTGTGGTTATCACAGCAGGAATAGCCATCACCAAATTAATAAATGGAAGCATTGGAATGCCTCGTTTGCTGCCTGAACTTGCTGATCAGGCATCTTTCTGGAAGCTTTTTACAACTGTCCCCATACTTGTCACTGCCTATATTTGTCACCATAACAGTAAGTGCTTCTTTTTTATCTCCCATATGTATCATATTGGTTAACAGTGGCAACTAGTTAAAATTGGATGGATGAGTTGACCCATTAATATGACTGGGTGAAAGCAGCATGCTACTGTGAGTTCATTCTTTGGAGCCACTCCACCTCTATTTAGTTCTATAATATAACCCAACGACCTAATTCATCTTTCTCTTTATCATAAGTTGATGTCACCACCAGTTGTTTACTGTATTCATATCTTTATTCTATCAATTTTAGGCCACGCATCTTAAAATCCTTGTTTATGATCTGTTTATATTATGCACCCTTGGTCCTTTAATTGTTGACCAACACAATACCACAATACAAGGTCTGGTAATGATACTTTAGAACTTACTTTCCAGCTTGGTAGTACATGTTATCTCTAACCCTGTTGCACTTCTCCTTCACGTCCAGCTGGCTATAATCGGTGCGCATTACATCCTTTACAAGTCCTCATTCCTTATTGGTAACCGAATCTAAATACCAAAAACAATCACTCTGCGAGGAAAACACGATCCTCTACAATGACTAAAAAAACACCTTTTTCCTATTATGCCTAAAGGTACATCCCATATATTACTGTTCTACTTGTACAAATCTTTTACATTCTATTGTGTGCCTTCAAACTTGTATTTTATCTCCTCCTAGTTGTATAATCGAACTATATAACCCAAAAAAAAAAAAAAAAAGTGACGAAATTTAACTCAACTAATATAATCTAAGTGGAATAATTATATTACTAAACAAGTCTTCACTATGAGCAAACAATTTTTTATGTCAATATATAGCTAATCAAATAGCTCTAAGTGAAAGAGCTCAACAATAAGTAAATAAACCAGGCAAAGTGATGATACTTCAGATGTAGTTAAGCGTATGAAGTCAATAGATAAAGGTAATATTGGATGATGGTAGGGTATGAAGAGCAAAATATAATAGGCGATGAAATGAAGAGCCAAACATAGTAGCAATGAAATGATTTAGAAACAACAAAGACACATTTCAGATCATAATGCATGTATAAAGCGCGAAAACAAAATAAAAACAAGATATGATGATAGGGTCCCCTGCTGCTTCTGCTCAATCGGATGGAAACTTATAAGAGTCCTGATCATTAGCATTGTTAGGCAACAATATTGTAATGGAAGGATGTAAGCTGGACATGTTGATTGTAAAGTATAACTATATTGAATTGAAGATAGAAACATTGTTCATGTAATGAGTAAATGAAAAACACAATATGTAAATCTATGAAATTGTACTCCAGAAATTAAGAATGGAAAATGAAGATATTTGGCATTTGAGAGGCCAATTCTCTCCTCCAGATTTCTCTACCTCTTAATGAAACGATACCCCCTATTTATAGGTTAAAGCTTATACATCTTATTGTAATAAATATCCATAATATCCCCCATGTAAATGAGAATTGAACTGACTACTAATTTGGGGCTGTATCAATACCCTACCCTTGAAATTCCCCTTGGCCTCAAGGTGAAAATCCGGACCAATTCCAAAATTTCGTACATCCGATCTATTTTCTTTGCCATGCTAATCACAATCAGAGCAGAAAAGGGACACTTTAACCAAAAGAAGTTGCTAGACCTATTAACTACAAGTAATATTGTCCATGAAAATCCCATAACCGGTCGCACCCCTTCGCGGGTTTTGCAAAAAATAAACCCAGCCAACCGGAATACAATGGTGTTTAGTACCACAGTCGATCAACGTCACGACCTTCTCCTTTTGTGCAATATGCCCTGTTTTCGTCATTGGCGCCATTAATCCACCACTGAATTAATTAAAATCCCAACGAATCTCCAACCTCCTGACCGTTGTCAGTGTTAAAAATCACTTCACCTTTTTCCACCACTGCCACTGATGCAACCAAATCCAATATCATCAATTTCCCAGATAATTTCTCCTTTTATCGATTCTCTTAACTCTTTTTTTTCTTTTCTAGCTGCATTGCCCAATGGTGTCGTACTCATCACACTGGAGACTCAAATTATTTTCCTTTTTCATTTGAACTTTAGCACCGGAAAGCTATTTGAAATTAGTGGAACTTGGTTTTGGAAATGGCTAAGCTGAATTGAAGCTGGTACGTGATTGTAGTATGTTGGTGCAATTGTTGCTTGAAATTGGAGTCATTTGATGGTTTTTAGGTCATTTACCTTTATTTTATTTAGGCCCATCCTGACTTCGACTGGTTTGAGTGAATTTTTGCAGTCCTCTTGTTTGGGCCACCCCCATACTATAGACCAAACCCACTAACTTCAACAATTTCTCCTTTCATCTTTTCCAACTTCGGTTCGTTAATAGTGAACCCTTCCCCTACGTTCTCCAACTTCTTCTCCTCTTGCTCGGGTGACGACGATGGAGACACATGCAATTGATACCTCTTTTCTTTCAATTCTCAACACTTCCACGCAGGAAATTCTCCACCAATGGCGACCTCATTCATTCGAAATCGAACCAACAACAAAACCTTCAATTCTTCCTGAATAGGACCGGACAAAATTCCCGAACCGAACCGAACGGTTCTTCTAAAATTAAATATTCGAATGGGTATCTGAATCCAAAATCAATAGGTTCGGTTCGGTTCTTAAATCTAGATCAAGATTCGAAGAACCGAATAAGAATTGAATCTTCCTAATTTTTTAATTAATTTATTTTAAATAAGCAAAATTATTTTATTTTTTCTAAATTAATTTGTTAACTAGTTAATTTAGTTCAAACTAAAAAAAAAATGATTTTTGAAATTGATCTAAATTTTATCCAAATCTGTTACTTTACTGTAATGCCGTTTCTACCGTTTTGAAAAAATTGAATTAATTATTTTGAGCTCGCTATCTTCCTCTTCATGTGATTTTAACAATCAAATCTGTGAAGAACTCAGCAAAGAAAGATGTAAAAGACACATAAGATTGGACTACTTTATTTTGTAAGAGCTAAAATTGAATATATCATTAGTTGAATTAATTTCACTTTGTAAATATTAAAAAATCTAATTATAACACGGAACTTGGGAACCGAATGGACCCGAACCGAACGAACTGAATCGAATGGAACCGAACCCGAACCCGAACGCGAACGGTTCCATAATTAAATTTGGAACTGACGATTCAACTTACTAAATATTCGAAAATTTTGAGTTGGTTCGGTAATCGTTAGAGCCAAACCAAACCGGACTGTATCCAACCCTGTTCTCGAGTTTGAATCGGACAACGACCTTCTATCCATTGAAATCATGCCATGCCTTTCCATCAAAGCACGCGACTGCGGGTTCCACCTTTTCCCTCTCTGACAACCCGTGATGTCATGGTTAAACAATGCTTTGCCGTACATAGCCATTGATCTGGATTTTCCCCATGAAATATGGATGTTTTAAGTTGACCTTACAAATCCAACTCTACATTATCTGCTTGGTTTCCTCCTACCCGTTGCAACACAAACCGATTGAATATCCAGCCCCATCTCTCCTGTAATTGTTTGCTGATATTTGTTTCCATTTTCCCTAGAATCAATGCTCTGGTACCAATTTGATAACGTCCCCTACTATTGTTGTTACTGTTGTGAACCATGAATCAGCTAATCAGTAGAGTTGTCGGCAACAATATTGTAATGGAAGGATGTAGGCTGGAGATGTTGATTGTAAATTATAACTTCAAATGGAATTGAAGATTGAGAACAATTGTTTATGCAATGGAAATGGAAACAGTAAACACAATATGTAAATCTATGAAATTGCACTCCAGAAATTAAGAGTCGAAAATGAAGATATTTGGCATTCCAGAGGCAATTCTCTCCACCTGATTACTCTGAATTTCTGCCTACCTCCAATGAAATGATACCCCTGTTCATAGGTAAAAGCCTATAAAGCTTATTGTATTAAATCCCCATAATATCCCCACGCAAAGGAGAATTGAACTGACTACTAATTTGGGGGTTGTATCATATGATGATGTGTGAAGTGTACACTTGCATATGGGCAGTTAAGAATCGAAATACAAGCTGATAAAAAATTGTATTCAGTTTCAGAATAATTTTGAACAGAAGTACTAATTTTCACGCACTTACATAAAAATGCTTATGAAGTTGTACTCATTTTGACACGTCTTCAGACCTGTGAAACGATATCCTCCAATGTATGAAAGTCTCAATTCCAATATATTATCCATTAAAAAAAAAATTGGAGACTTTCAGAGAGCATCAAGATAGTTTTAAAAGTAAGAACTATTTGCATTGAATTCTATGATTCTATACCAGTGAAAGATACACTTGGCACGTATGTTCTTCGAACATCTTCTACACATTAATATGTCTGGACTCTTTTATTATAATCATTTTATATGTGCTTGAGCATTTATCTGATCTCTACAAATGCGTTTGTGATTTATCTTCTTTTCTCGTTTGATTTATCTTCTTTTCTCATGTATGAATTACTTTTCTTCTTTTGTTTATTGAAAAGTAAGAATACAACTTCTGAGCAAGTATAAATTTATTTGACTAAACTTCTACCTTAGTCTAAAAGTTATTATGTGAGAGTCTCTGAAGTACCCATTCGCTTAAACAAAATCACAAGTTACTGCAAAGTCCAAAATAGTAACCCCTTCTTCATTTTGATTCTCAAAGTCAGTCTCCATGTAAGGGATTGCCTAAATCAATTCATCCAGAACTTCTTGAAATCACATCTCTGAAACACTAATTGACTGTTCTCTGAATTGAACTTCCATATCTCATCTTTTAAACCCAGTTCAACAATTATTTTAAACTCATGTCTAACTTTCTCTTACTTATATGCCAAGGTTTATATTTTGTGTTCCCAAATTATTTATTTCGAGTTCCTTAATTTTTTCTCCTTCGCTTCTACAGATTTAACCAGTTAGATGCAGGCCATGTGGATTTTCCTATTGTTCATCACATCTTCTAGTTCAAAGTGTTTCACTGTATTTCCAACACCTCTGGACACCAAAGTATTATGTCAATTAAAGGGTACACCTTAGCTAACCCAGTTCACTTTGCACTACATATAGGAACTGATGCAGCGCATTACTCGTTAGGACAGACTCCAACCAAACGTATAGAAGGAAATAAATATGTAGAATACTGCTACAGCATGCATTTTAAATTACTTAAAAGATATTCTATCATGATTAATGGT